GATCTGGCTAATCTACATGCCTCCGTCGAAGGAGGCATGTAGTCTAGACATAGCCATATTTCCTTCCCATCTTCCTCAGGTATCCTCCATCCTGCCACCTATCATGAGAAGCCTGAGAGAAAATATGTGCTTTTCACTATTCACTTGCATCAATGAGGCAGTGAATTTCAGAGGCCAGGGATTTCCATTAAGAGCACTCTGATCCAGATGTCCAAACTTACACTTGTGAATTCAGGTGCCTTAGCTCAGCTGGAAGGATGAAACTTTTCCATAATTTTTAGCAAGAAGCCACTGGAGGTATGGCTTATGCACCATTCCCTCCTCAAGTGAGATTAACAGTCAGTCAATCAATCAGCATAATTCACAGACCCAATGACCATGATTCAGACTTCATGAAGCGATAGAGAAAATAAACATAGAATAGCACTTTGTGATGGATACCAGATGGGGAGTTCCCATTAGCCAGTCTTGGTGCACAATGAACCAAGTAAACCACTATTCCTGGGATTTAAGATCTTATACACCCACCAAAAGGGACAAGTATTATTCAGAAAACATAATTTACTGTGCAATAATCATTGCTGATATGATATGCTTGAAGTGCCTTCACAGAGTACTCATAGACTCATAGGCTGTGTCTACATTGGCACCCTTTTCCGGAAAAGGGATGCTAATGAGACACTTCGGAATTGCAAATGCCGCAGGGGATATTTAAATCCCCCGCGGCGTTTGCAATTCCGACTGGTCTCATTAGCATCCCTTTTCCGGAAAAGGGTGCCAATGTAGACACAGCCTATGAGTCTATGAGTACTCTGTGAAGGCACTTCAAGCATATCATATCAGCAATGATTATTGCACAGTAAATTATGTTTTCTGAATAATACTTGTCCCTTTTGGTGGGTGTATAAGATCTTAAATCCCAGGAATAGTGGTTTACTTGGTTCATTGTGCACCAAGACTGGCTAATGGGAACTCCCCATCTGGTATCCATCACAAAGTGCTATTCTATGTTTATTTTCTCTATCGCTTCATGAAGTCTGAATCATGGTCATTGGGTCTGTGAATTATGCTGATTGATTGACTGACTGTTAATCTCACTTGAGGAGGGAATGGTGCATAAGCCATACCTCCAGTGGCTTCTTGCTAAAAATTATGGAAAAGTTTCATCCTTCCAGCTGAGCTAAGGCACCTGAATTCACAAGTGTAAGTTTGGACATCTGGATCAGAGTGCTCTTAATGGAAATCCCTGGCCTCTGAAATTCACTGCCTCATTGATGCAAGTGAATAGTGAAAAGCACATATTTTCTCTCAGGCTTCTCATGATAGGTGGCAGGATGGAGGATACCTGAGGAAGATGGGAAGGAAATATGGCTATGTCTAGACTACATGCCTCCTTCGACGGAGGCATGTAGATTAGCCAGATC